ATAAAATTATTGGAAAAACATATTTTTTTTTATTCAAACCAAAAAAAAAAAAAACATGAAGGAAAAGCAAGAGAATTGGTGAGTGGGGGGGGGGGGTTGGGATGTTTTGTCTATGGAAAGGTTCAGGCTGATTTCTTGGCATCAACACATAAAAATAATAGAGTTCATTTGGTAAGATGCCTGAGAGTTTAGTCATCCCTCTTCTGTCAAAGTTGACTGCAGATTCTCCTGGTGGCAACTCCTTTCCATTTCTCCACTGTTGTTTTCTTTGTCCATTCATACCTTTTAAGAACAGAGGCATGTCAAGGTGCCTCCGTTGGATTTGTTGCTTAAAGAGGCCTCTCCAAAATGTAAAGGCAACCAATGTTTTTATCTTGCAGTTTTATAAGGTCAAGAAGGCTGAGCTGTAACGTCTGCCTGCTGTTCTTACCCACCTCTCCACTTTTAGCCACAGCTCTCAACATGCAATATGAGGTTATTAATATTGACAAAGAGAGTTGGATTAAAGATTTCCATAACACACAGAATGTGAAGGACAACAAGCCCTGCAAATGGAGGCATCCATTCAGTGCTTCCATCCAGTGCCAGTCAGAATCAGAATTCTGCCACGTTCATACACATATCTCAGGCCATAAGGTAGAGATGACACAACTGAGCAGGAGCACTCAAGCACCAGAAGGCACTTCCTGCACCACGTTCAGACTTATCTTGATAGGTCAGAGGAGGAAGTAGAAGAACAGAAGGAAATTTAAAAGAGAACATTCTTCACTTAGAGAAAAATAAATAGGCACAGGGAGGGATCTGACTCGGTAATAGAAAGTAGGAAAAGAATCTTGGAATAATAGCTAGTCAGCCAGTGGGGCACTCCTCTGCAAAAAGGCTAGATTTATGTTGCATGAGAAGCAAATAATGGGATTTAATCTTTTCAGTCTAGTCACAATATTTATTCAAGAACTCAGATCAATTAGAATGGGTTCAGGGAAATGCAGTAAGATGATTAGGGGGCTGGAAACTAAGTTCTGTGGAGAGAGATTAAAAGAACCAGGTACATTTGTTTTGAGAAGAAACAGCTGCACATTCTCCAAGGCCCCAGGGGGTGCAGTGGTGAAGGGATTGAGCTAGAGCAGAGACCCAGGTTCAAGTCCAACCTCAGCCATGGAGTTTCATGGGGTGACTTTGGCCCCTCTCTCTCAGCCCAACCTACCTCCCAAGATAGCTGTTGTGGGGATCAGATGAAGGGAGATCCCCATGAAAGCTGCTTTGAGCTCCTAGGGGGAAGCTGAGATATAAATTGAACAAAGAAATAAATACATTTTCTGCAGGTGCAACATGCTCAAGGAGGTCATCCCTGGAATAGTGCTTTAAAGTTACAAGTACATAGATTCTAGCTCAATATTAAAGAGAAATAGGTAGAACGTTATTGCAATCCATGATCAGTAAAACTAAACATTCTAGTGCTATTTATGTAAAGTTTTACAATCATGCTTCAGGACACAGGTCCTCCTTATATCAACCCTAACCCTGCTAAGTAGTGGAAATCGTAACTCTGATGGCTAGGACTTGCTGACCTAGTCCTGATTCCTCCTTCTCCCATTACCTGACAGCAAAGAAGTAACTTGGGTACCAATTTGTATTTCTCTTCTCTTCCTGAAATACATGCTAAAGTCGACTGGTGCTATACAATATCAAAATGTGTATACTGGCCCATCTAGCCTAGTATTGTCTAAACTGACTGGCAGTGGCTCCCTAGAAGTTTGGGAATTTATTTATTACAGATGCTTTTATGCCACCTCTATCATCAACGTCTAAATATGTTCCAGCTGTTGACCTGCAGGTAGAAGGAATGTCCAGTGTGGTGGGAAGGGGTTGGGGTTGGGGTAGAAATCAAGGCTCACTAAAGTCAACCTTTCTGCTGACCTGTAAATCAACCAGTGTGGGAGGGATGGGGTGGGCAGACAGACAGACAGCCCTGTTTAACCACATTTCCTGCTGAAATGCACTCCAATCAGGTTGTTTCCTATCCAAAGGCTGCCTGTGAATGAGGCCAGAAGCCGATGTGCGGTTTCTTTTCCTAAGCCAAGAATCCCTAGACAATCTAGCATTCTCTCATAAGAAAGCTATTTGAGCCCCATGATCATTTGGTTGTCCTTTTCAAATGTGGCTACTGGGGGGGATGGGCGGCATGCAAATTTAATAAACAAACAAACTGGGCATGGTGTTCCAGAGGAAGGCACGCCATAGAACTGAGTAAGGCCATTACAACGTTGGCAGAGTCAGTCCCTTCTGCGAGTTTCCACCGTGACCCCAAGACCTCTCCCCTCCTTAGTTGCAGACAGCTCAACCCCCTCAGACACAGAGCGATGATTCTGCTCCAGGACACTCCTGAGGAAACAGTGCGCTCCTATTGGAGCCTCCATTTCTTGCAGAGGCCGGCTTAATCCGGATCAAGGCGCTCTGACAGGAAAGTGGTGTTTTGCCCCAGGAAACAGAAGAACATTTCCTGTTAGAACATCATGTGTTGCATGAGGTGGGTGGGGGGTCTTTGGAAGCTGCTGGGGTTCATTTGGCCCACAGCAGGACTGGCCCCTTCCCATCCAGCCATTTCAAGGGCCACTTGTGGTCCTTGGGGTGGGGGTGGGGGTGGGGTTGGCCTGGGGAATATCAGCCTTGTGGAAGACCAAGCGTGAAATAATGCACAAAGTCATTATTCTCCTCAGGAACATCCATGCAGTCTTCAGCATGAAACTATCCACCATTCATGATAGTGATGCAGAAATGGGATTTGGCGAAGTGGTAATTTTGACAGGTTGCTCAACCTGCTATCTTATTTTCCTGAGTGTGGCAAAGCAGTGTGTGAGTCTGCTCACCAACTCCACAGGTCTAACAACCATTTGTTTAGTGGTCTTTGGAAGGCAGCAAGTGGTGGCTGATGGCATGATCTGTACAAGCTGAAGCAGGAGACTGTGGGTCTAACATGCCCTCTCCCAAAGCCCACTGTCACAGAACTCACCCTCTGCAAGCCTGTGGCACGTAGCGGAGGCCATCCTGGGGGTCCCCCTGGTTTTGCAGGGAAAGAGAAAACAGAATGGCAGCAGAGGAGAGTGCTTGGGGACGGGGCGGGGGGGAGCAAAGGAGACTTGTTGGCATCCATCTAAAGTGACCAATAAGCACCAGAACACCTGCCATCCTCGCATTTTGAGAGGAGAATGAGCATTGCAGAGACATGACCAAAAAAGAAAAGACGTTGCTGGGACATGTTTTTGCTTGTGCTGAGGTGCAGGTGGGGAAGGCCCTCAAGTGTTCTTTGGGTTATTGATCTACGGTGAGAGACTACATAGCCAGAGGCTTCTGCTCATCATTATCATCTTCATCATCCTCATCTTTGACTTTTGCTGTATCTGTGATAGCTCAGTATATGTCAACTATTTATTCCCCCTTTTTCTTGCTCTTCCATCTCCTCATCTTCTTTAGTATCATTTTTGGTTTCTCAGCATTTGTCCTTGGGGCGGGGGGTCCCCTGAGAGAGCTGCATAAATTATGGTTGTTTTGTTTGAATGTTTTTGTGGAGGAGATTTATTGTTTCTTGGGCAATAGAAAAGCTGTACATCGACTTTTTGAGAGAGAAGCAGGAAGATCCAAATAAATTTCATCAAAACTACTAAAATAAATGTTAAATCAAAGGAGTTGGCTCAAATAATGAATAATGACCTTTCGATTATGTCATCTGCCTTGATATGATCATCTGTGGCAATCCCCAGGCAGCTTTTCTTTTCTAAACCTTTTGGTATCTGCTTCGCCTCACTTTGCTCACCATTCGGATAGCATCACTCTTATAAATTCCTGGGTTCTTTAACTGCCCCATAGTCCTCTTTTCTGCTTGATTCTCCATATACAACCTCCAGATGTATTTCTTTTTTATGGTTAACAGTAGCTAGTTGATCAAAAATAGAAATCATGGTTTGAGCAATGAGGTGGCAATCACTTGCCACAATATCTATGTCCAAATCAAGTTGGGAGCAGAATAATTTATCTAGTCCTTAATATTCTTAAGTCATTAAAGTGTCAGTTAAGGGAAGATTAGCAGTGCTTGCATTTCCTAATCTTCACCTGCTCATTCCACATCATTATTCCATTCTGTTGGGTAAGAGAAGCTTCTTAGGCATAAATAATTGGCTCAACTCCTTTTACACTCCTCAGAGTTCCCTGGGTTCTCAGTCTTTAATCTTGAATGGGTTGGCAAGATCTGAAGTCTCCAGTCTAGATCTCTGATTCATCTTGGATTTAATTTGTTGCTTTCCCCCTTCCTTCCTTCCTTCCTTCCTTCCTTCCTTCCTTCCTTCCTTCCTTCCTTCCTTCCTTCCTTCCTTTTGTTTTATTGCTCCTTATTGCTCCTTTCAGCTCCCAACTGGAAATGAAAAGAACCAGATGAGAATTATTTTCTCTGAGCAAATGAAGGAGAATCCATTACTGTGCTTCTGTCACTAAAATATGTTCTGGAGAAGGTGGAGACCCTATGGCTGGGAGGCTTTAAAGTGGATTGCTGTACAGAGCAGGGGTTGGACTTAATGGTCTGAATTATGCTTTGAGATGCTTCATGAATATTGCTCTTGAAGTGTCCCCTTGGAAATTTATCATTCTCTGGCATCTGGGAGGTGAAGGTCCATGGGAAGGATTTTATTTTCATGTAACAAAGTTAGAAAAGGCCGGCCATATATACTTAGATAAAAGATGGAAGGATGTTGAAGCTCCATCTCAGTGAAAACCTTTCCCAGAGACAGATTGTCTGATTGATTATAGAGAAATTATGAAGTTTATGACCTAGAATCTCTGCCCCATCCAAAAATCAATTCGGCGAACCCCTCTGCTTTTTTTCTTCTAATATTGAATTTCCTGGCCAAGCCCTTCAGAAGCAAGTATCGTAATAAAGTGTTCCTTGCAGATGTGGTTTGCCCTGTAAGGGTTTTAAGATACAGTGATTGGTGGGCGGGCTACATCACTTTGCATTTATCCAATTTTTGTACTCAGAAGGAAAAAGTCAGTGTTTCTCATTTAAGTGGTTGATCAGTCCCTCCCACAGAGATTAGGTGTTCCTGTGGGTTTTGCAGAAGATGCTGCCCTTAGCACATGACGAGTTACAAATACTAGGGACATGCTATGAAAGAGCATTAAAATGCTTTTTTCAAGAATAAAAGATTAATAAAATAAATAAAAGAATAAAACAAAAGTCTCAGATTAAAGAATAAAACTATGCCTGCAGAAAACCACAGCTGGAATATTAAGTTTGTGCTAGCTTTCTTTGCCCAAAGGACTGTGGATAGGGAGCCTTCAAGAGGCCACTCCTTGCCCGCTGTCCAAAGTCCAGGAACAGTTGTGCTCCCTGATGCCCCTAGTTGTATAGTTCAGTTCTGTGTCTACTGAGGACAGCAGTTTAAGATAGCTGCTAGTTTTCTGGCATCCATGGTAATGATATCCAGTGTATGAGGGAATGACTTCCCACATATTGCACACCAGTTCAATTGGATGAGATGATGGGGAGTAATTTATTGTAAAAACAATCTTTTCTTCCATTTCTTAGACTGATTCAGCTAAGCTTTTCCAGCAGACTTCCTCTGATCCACTCAAGGCCTTGAGCTGGCTCCGAAAAGGTCTGGAAAAGCAGGGCGCAGTTGGAGCCCAGAATGTGTTGAATGCCAGTAATAACGCTAGAAGGGCGAGACCGAGAGGGGTGCCTGCAGGAAGGCAAAGCATGGCCCAGCGCAATGTCCGTTCTCCAGGGGCCTACAGTGTCTGCGACGAGGAATTCAGTCTGAACGTCAGCTCCAACAGGGGGTCTCCCAACTTCCACTTGGCCATGAAGGCGGGTTGCCAAAAGGAATCTAAGGATGAAGAAAGTGACGGTTCTGCTTCACCAAACCCAAATCCTGACCCAGATGAAGTCTCTTTTTACTGCAACCGGCTTTCCAACCTCGCCATAGCAATGGCACGCAAAGAGATGAATGACCGGTCTGAAGGTAACAACACATGCATACATAACACAGTCTATGCCGCGGCAGGGGACCACGGCCACAGATCGATTGGGGTGGGTACAGAGGAGAGCAAGCACAATCCTACCAGGATGTGTGAATGCAAATATGAAGAAAGCCCCAGTTCAAAGAAGAAGACTACCTTTTATTATAAAGAAGAAAATACAGAAGTACCAAATAAAAGCGAGCCTTTCCGGGATGAAGGCAAAGGGTGCAATCACAGGAAACGCTTCGGTCCTGATGAATACAGCAACTCACTGAGCAAAGGGATACTGGTTTATGCCAACAATGTGGTTTCAGACATGATGGTCTCTGTTATGAAGACTATGAAAGTGAAAGTAAACGATTCCAACATCGCTTGCGCAGTGTTGAAAAAGGTGCTGCTGAAGCACTCCAAAGAGGTTGTGTCCGACCTGATTGACTCCTGTATGAAAAACCTTCATGATGTCACGGGGACACTCATGACTGACTCTGACTTCGTTTCTGCTGTGAAGCGGAGCCTCTTCACCCAAGGCAGTCAAAAGGCCTCTGAAATAGTGCAAGCCATGCTGAACCGATTGCACAATGCTCTGATTGTGCAAAAGCAGGTAAACGAGAAGGCCAAATCCCACAGCATGGCCTTTGCAACCATTAAGACAGGTCGGGGGGCTGATGCAAAGACTCAGAATATGAGGTTTTCTGCTGCAAAAACAGAAACCATGAAAGATAAGGAGATGACCTGTGCAGAAACAGTTGGCAATCACATCATCAAAGAGGGCCTCAGCATGTGGCAGCAGAAGCAACAGCATGACAACGCGGGATCAAACTCCCCTCCCTCCAAGGCTTTCTCAACCCAAGAGAATCAAGACCTTTCCAACCTTTCCACAGATTCCTGGGCAAGAGACCTGATTGTGACAGCGTTATTGCTGATACAGTATCATCTTGTGCAGCAGGAGAACGCAATTAAGGATGCGGCTGAAGGGGGCCGAGCCAGCAAGGCAGCTGGCACCCTGGGCTTTCTGGGCCAGGATAAAGGCATCGGCTCGATAAAACAGTCCGACGCTTTAAGACAAAGTGAGGATGAACAGTTTGAGATGAATGCGGAAAACGATATGTCGAGCGTCGTAGTAATGCTCATCCAGAAGCTCATCAATGAGACCGTCAACAAATTAGGAGGAAATTCAGGGACGCTGATGGCAGATGAAGCATACCGGAGTGCTTACAAGAATCCGGAGGGCCCAGGTCCTTCGGGCCTTTCAGAAGTGGATCATTCTTATGAAGATGCCATATCTGGACTGACCAAAATGATTTTGGACCAGTGTGACGTCAACAGGAAGGAAGGAGGCAGCGGACCATTCATTGACAACCTGGTCGACACAGTAACCAAGCTGTGTCTGATGATAGCCAAATATAGCAATCCTGAGTCAGGACTCGGAGACATAGGAGATGGAGATGATCTCGGGGGACCTTTCTATTCGAAGGGCACAGAAAATGTGGAAAGCAGAATTGGGTCTGGTGAAGACACGGCTTCTGGCCGGAAGGTGGTTGTGACTAACCAGAATGCTCCTGAAAACATTCACAACAAGCAGCTCCAAGCCATCCTTCAGTGGGTGGCGGCCTCTCAGCTGAACGTCCCAGCATTATATTTCATGGATGATGATGAAGAAACCCTGAACAAGGTAAAACTAGAAGCACAGGGCAGGAAGGGGGGAATAGTGTGTGAGGGGAAAATAAAATAGGATAGCGTTGTGGTTCTGCTCATGTTGTAAGGGACAAAAACACTGTTTCTATTCTTTTTTTTTTTAATTGTATACTAATAATAATATTAATCAACATTTATGATCAAGGCAGGGGTGTTTAGGCAAAGGACCTCTCCCCCTTCATCTCACCTATTTCTTATCTACTCACTTCCTGTAAAGTAAACTGTGTTGCACCCTTGTCTTTTCTCTCTCGCCCCCTTCCTCCTGCTCCGTTGAGCAGACCATGGTTGCTTTTAATCTTTGCTCTCTGCTGACAATTCTTCCACTGTTTACAGAGAAATTGGACATGTGAGAATGTTTTAAAAAGGGAGGAAGAATCAACAATTCTGTTTATTTCCAATATATTCCTAATCTCTTGCAGCCCCTTATTTGCAGAATAGTTTTCTACAGGATTGGCTTTTGCAGCAAAATAATAATATCTATGTTCAAGAGAGAGAGATCAGTGAAGTATAAATTATTGGTCAGGGGAAAAAACCTCCTGATCATCAGAAAGAGGTTCGTGTGCTTAGTGGCCACAGAAGGAAAATAGGCTCCTATGTTGGCAAGGGGTTCATGCGAGGGGCATGACCACTGCAAATCTTGCTTGCAAGTTCCACTGGAAATTTGTCCTGGTGATACTTCATTATTAAGACTGGCTCAGGCATCATGTTAGGGAACCTTTTCCCGCCCCTTGCTGCACCCAGTCTATTAACCCAGGTACCCAAGAAGCCGCCTAAGGACTGAGCCCATCACGTCAATCCAACCTTTGTGCTATGCAAACACAGTTCTTGTGTGCTCATGGTGAAGTTTGCCCCCAGCTAGTTTTCTTCTTACTGGCACTGTGTATCTCCCTTCAGTACTGCATAGGACCAGTGATGCAGCTCCGAGATGCACAGTAGGCACAATTGGGATCTCTTTCTTTCCACCAAGGCCTCTGAAAGAGCCCAGGGGACAGAACAGATTCCAGAGAAAGTCCTGGATGCAACTCGTGTGTTCCTGTCTTGCCTCGTTTTTTCCATGAAAGAAAAAAGGAGTTGGAGCAATATTCTTCGATATATTACTTTTTGCGCACAGGTTCTTTTGGATGGACCCATATATGTATATATAGAGGAAACATTTTGCCCCAGGTTTCTGCTGGTTGCTTAAATGGACCTGCAGCCTAGAGAAAGAGGGGGACTAGGAGAATTTTGGAAAAAGGGAGGATGGGTCTTAGCGAGAGAAAGCACCCGCGTGCCAGATCTTTTCCTCTAAGCATCTCCTCCTTTCCTGCAGCTTCAACAGCTCTCCACGGTGGCTGTGGAGAGGAACTACAGCGTTGGAGAAGTCATGCAAGCCGTGCTGAAGTATGAGAAGGAGAGGCAGCTGGGGGAGGCCCTGGGCAACTTTGTGCGGCTGCCAGTCCTGGACTGGCTGCTTCAGAACCTGTAAGCCCAGCATCTCTCGGGTTCTTCAGGTGCCCCTGTTAGTCCCCCTTGTTACAGCGCTCATTGGTCAAATATGATATGAGTTTTACTGATCCCCACCCCCTGCTGAGCAGTCAAATGAATAAAAGAAGGAAATACTTAATATTGGTGGGAAGTGTTATTTCCAGGCCTTTCAGCCAAGGGCTATTATTATTATATTAAAGCCACAGTCGCCGTGTCAGCAATCTGCTCTCTGTCCAATGTTCAGTGAACAGTTGCATGGCTAACCATTTGTACATTATTCCTGAAGGCTCTGAGCAGGTTAAATCAGATGCAACATAGACCATGAAACCCTCAATAAAAAATAAATAAGCCCACCAAAATGAATAAATAAACATTTAGAACCGCATTGTAAGGGATTAAAAACAAACAAACGAAAAGCCACATATCTGGTAACGCTTCCCGACATTCAAAGCATGCCTTCCTCCTGGGCTGCATGGCAAAGCCAAGTCTTGTCTGCTCTTCTGAAACCCAGGAGGGAAGAGGTGGACTGTATTTTTACAGAGAGAGGGAGGGAGGGAGGGAGGTTCAAAGCACGCAGACAGTGATTTAAAAAGCCAATATCCTAGATCCTGCCAAGTGGCATTTCAGCAGAGACAGGACTTAGAGGAACTGATCAGATGGGCGGAAGGATATGGGAGAAGGTAATTCCTCAGATAACTCAGTCTGGAGCAATGTAGGGCCTTGAAGGTACCTCGAGTAATACCCAAAAGCCAACGGGCAGCCCGTGCAGTTCCCAAAACAACAGGGTCGCCTTCCCAGGCTGCTGTATTTTGTATCAGCTGTAACTCCCTAATGCTTTCCAAGGGTGCCCCATGTACAGCATGTGCGTAATCCAAATAAGAGCTGACTGGAGCATCAGTAACCGTGAGAAGGTTTCTCAGTCCAGAAATGGCCACAATTGGTGCGCTAGAGGTAACTGTGCAACCCA